TGAATAGATGAGTGAGGAGAAACTCCATTGGCTGCATAGCATTATGACTAGGTAACTTGTTGCCGTGGTTGCAATTTCAAAACACATTCTGTGAGGTATTTCTGTACATGAATTAAGGTTTGTTTTTAGTGTGAATTTAAGTACAAACTCGCTCCTAATATGGTTTTCTGAATGCTGTATTTGCATTGTTAGATGGATGTGATCAGATATTAGTAGTATACATTCCACTTTTGTATGCTAGACATACTTTTTTTGTTGTACGTTTGCATTCACAGAAGTATATATACTGCTAATGGAGCAAATACTGTAACCTTACAAATCTCCTTGTAAGAAATGCTTTTATCACTGAAGTAGCCAATTAAACAAAACATGCATTTTAGCTTTTACATTGTATTCTAAGTTTTATATCCACCTATGTTTCATCCACCTCCAATATTGTGATTTTTCGCATGAAGTGTGCGAGTTTGGTGCTGATTTTCAATGAGACTTGCAAATCCTTTATTGTATCCACCTTTGACACAATGTAATGTACAACTCATAAAGTGTACATTTTCAGTGAGATCTTCATCGGATGTTTTCCAAGGTGCCTGCCCTTGGATTTATTTACCACTACTACTGTATGTATGGTTACACTAGAGTTGATGACTTGTAACATTCAAGAGATTTTTTTATTTTATTTCTATATAGGTCTGTATATATTGTTTTCAGAATTTTATTGGGAATAGAGTGCATTATTGTATTTTAATTATTGGGTAATTGTATAATCATGTGAATAATAAAGATGTATAGTTTGCTACAGTGAGTTAATTGGCTGGTATAGTTTACTACAGTGTGCTGATTGGCTGGTATAGTTTACTACAGTGTGCTGATTGGCTGATTTAGTTTACTACAGTGTGCTGGTTTAGTTTACTACAGTGTGCTGATTGGCTAGTATAGTTTACTACAGTGTGCCGTTTGGCTGATATAGTTTACTACAGAGTGCTGGTATAGTTTACTACAGTGTGCTGATTGGCTGGTTTAGTTTACTACAGTGTGCTGATTGGCTGGTTTAGTTTCCTACAGTGTGCTGATTGGCTGGTATAGTTTACTACAGAGTGCTAGTTTAGTTTACTACAGTGTGCTGGTTTAGTTTACTACAGTGTGCTGATTGGCTGGTATAGTTTACTACAGTGTGCTGATTGGCTGGTTTAGTTTCCTACAGTGTGCTGATTGGCTGATTTAGT